GGCGCCGCGGCAGCGGGCTTAATATCTCGCCGCGCACTCGGCGCCTGCCGCGCCAGGGGTAGGCAGGCCCGCCCAACACGCGCGTGGAGCGCGCGGCCCACCCGGCACGGCGCTCGGACTCATCATCCTACATGTGCGTGCCTGCGTGCGTGCGCATCGTTGCGCACACTGTGAAAAATATCCTCGTACATTTACGACATTTGTTGTAATTTTGATTTTCAAAATATGTTGTAAATTTACGACAGCCCATTCTTGCTCGTCGGTCAATTCCAAGTCGACAGGGAGTGCTTGTAAATTTACAATTTCAAATTGTGATTTTACGACTTTTATGATGGAAAATTTTCCCGTAACCCTTACGAGTATTTTTCACAGTGCACACACATGTGGGTGCGGGGCGGTGCGGGGGCTGGGACCACCAGAACCTCGTATGGGCAACCGCGATGGAGCGTACGCGCTATGGTCCCAATGAAAGCGCTGGTCCAAAGGGCAGCCTGAGCACAGCGTCGTAAAGTAACGTAACACGCAACGAAACTGCATAAAAAAACAGTGCTGGGGAGGAGCCCTGCTGCAGGCTACGCCGCTTGGTGCGAAGGCCGCGGAAGTTCGCCCGTCATGTGCCGTTACAGAACTTTCAAGCTCAGGAAATACAAGCTCCCATGGCGCCTGATGGGTAGGCAACATCTTGCCTTCAGTGCATGGGTGTACTGCGGGTTGGCCTACCCCGAGTCTCGCAGGCGCCGAGCTCCCGTAATTTAACCGAATGAATCTGTGAAATACGGACGCTCTCGTACGCGGATCTCCAAAGCCCAGTGCGAAAATACGATTACGGGGTTCAGTTTTACGTTCCCAGCGACGAGGAAAGACGGAGGGGGCTGATGTTAACCAGGAGTGCCCTACTCCCCACTCCCACTACCCGACGCACCTGCCCGACCCTCCCCTCCCCTCTCGCTCGCCGCCATCCTTACCCGTGATCCTGACCATGTGAGCGCTGCGCGACGCGGCGCTACGCGTGGTCGAGGCCGGCCGGGTCGCTCTGTCGCTGTGCAGCCTGCAGGCCGCTCGGCTCAGCGCCGTATAAGGCCCGCCTATTAATGTGCGACAGAGGCCGGGCCTCCCGCAGGACGCAGGACCTCCTGGCTAGCGGCAGAGCCCGCTGGGTGTCCTGGACTCGTTCCTGGACTCGCTCCTGGACTCGTTCCAGGATTCGTCCGTCGCCTTTCCTGATCGAGTGTAAAGTACAGCCGTTGCTACTACGAGTCAGCTGCAATGCGGCTCGTGTCGGCGCTGCTGCGCGCCGCGCGCTTTTGGGTTTGGGAATCCGAACGAAGTGGTTTGTTATTTCTGCGATCGGCGAGGCGAGGGCGAGGAAGGATCCTCCTTACGTCATCGCGGAGGCCGTCGCCGCCCGTCCGCTTCCGCGCGGCTGCTGCTGGTCTGCTCCCCGCCCCCCGGGGGCGCGCTGGGGACCTCCATCGTGGGGTGCCCGCCCGAGGCGTGGGGCGCAGCCGCCCATGTCCTATGAACGACCATTCGCAGTTTTTTCTCTCCTGCTAATCCAATGGGTGTGGCCGTGAAACTTAGTTGAGCTCCATTGGTTCCTTCTGAGGCGGGCTGGACTTCCCCCGCACCCAGTGTGGGTCAGCGGCGCGGCGCGGTCCGCTGCCTCCTGACCCGGTGCCGCCCCGGGGCGTCCTTGCCCCCCTCCCGCTCCTACTCTAGTGTCTGGCGGGCCACCAGCCCGTGACAGCGAGCGATGCTGTGTGTGTGTGTCGGTGTGAGTGAGTGAGTGAGTTTGTCCAGCGGGACTGCAGTGACCCCCGCTGCGCCGCGCCGCGCGGACTCGCTGTCTCTGCTCGTCGACGCGACCACCGCCCCGCTCTCTCCGAGATGGCGCACTTGTTCGTGACGAACCCCGCGACGGCCGCGGCCGTGTTCAGGGGCGGGCTGGTGGACAGCGCCGCCAGCGCGTTCGGCGGCGCGTCCAGGCCGGGCCGCCGGGTGACCGTCGGCAGCCGGTCCGACGGGGACGGGGTTGACGGGCGCCGGCCCGAGCTGCACCGCGGCCAACCCGCGGCCGCTGCTGCCACGCGCTCGCGGAGCTTCAACGCGGCCGACCTCAGGCCGCAGCCGCAGCAGGTGTTCTTCGTGCCCAGCGCCAGAGACCCGCACGCTAGGGCCTCCAGAGACCCGCACGCTGGAGCCACCGGACACCCGCACGTTGGAGCGTCCACAGACCCGCATACTGGAGTCTTCAGGGACCCGCACGCTGCAGTCTTCGGACACCCGCACGCTGGAGCGTCGAGCCGTGCCGGCCGCACCGTGGTGTACTTCGCGCCGGGCCCGGACGACCTGGCCGCGAGGCTGCCGCCGCCTTCACCCTCTGCGCCGCCAACCA